AGACCCTTCAAAATAATAATAAACACAATAATAAATAAACACAATAGGATAAAACTCACGACTGACCTTGTTGTAGCCCCTTACTTCGAATCGCCACCAAAGGTAAGTCAGCTGCTACCGGTGCATTTAAATTAAGGAAGTTACGCTGTAGGTGTCTAAAATGTCCGTTATCCTTAAAAATGTACCCAAATAGGTTTGATAATGAGTATATATATATTCTAGTTGAATAACTTCAACAACTAGGCTACTTTATTTAAAAGAGCAGTCAGGCAAGCAGTATTACCCTCATGAATGTTCAAATGTAATTTCTAATGTCTATTAAAACCTGTGGAACCCCATCGACCCGGGCGGAAAAACGCGTCATCTGCAGGAAACAGCGTCTGAGGGCTTCTTAATATTTAATAAACTATTAATGTTTTATATCCATGTAATCATGGATGTATAATAAGAACGCATGTAATGGGAAGAAACTCAGCTAACTGATCATTATTAAAAACATTTTTTAAATAATTCAAAGCTAGTGCCGAGCCTCTGAATTAGCAACGACCGAAAAAATCTTAGGGCCGTTAGCACAGAACTCTAGCTATACCGATCGATATACTTATTGGATCTGCACAAACAAGCTTAGATAACATCCTGAGAGTCCACAGATTATAGAAATGTAAGGATCATCACTGAGCGATCAGAACTCGTGACAGGGGAAGCAAATACAGACAACAAACGACGTAGCTTTAGTTAGCAAAACACGGATATGCTCACCTTAGCTGTTATTCTGATCAAAAGTCGTGTTCAATGGCATTAAAACGAGAAAAAGTGCGGCTGAAGGTTAATCCATAGGTTATAGCAATGTGTCTGTCACACAAAAAAATCATTGATAATCCATAATTCAATTTGTATGCAAAAATCGGCGAAGAAAAATTCGCTGCTAATGGTAGCCACCAGAGGTTAGCGCAGCTTCCGGTTTTTCTACGCGTCTCTCTCACTCCTCGATTCCATTAGGGGCCTTCACACCAAGTTCTTTTCCCACGATAGTTCATCAGAACTCTTTTAGTTCTGATGAACTAAAGCAGATCGCGTTCACACCTCAATATGTCCCTGGGGGTGGATTAGGCAAATTAAACCGCTGACATCACTTCTTCTTCTTCTGCTTTGGGTTTACTGGCAGGCCGCAAACCACTAAACGGCGTATACTGCCGCCCGGAGTCCCCGGCCGGAAGTCCCCGGAGTTGGGGTCTGGCTTCAGTAGAAGCTGCTTCCGAGTAAATCGCCAGAACATCTCCACCGCTCCCATGTTTTATTTTGTGTTGACCTACAGTCTCTCTGCGTTTGTGCGCTGGGCTAATGCTAATAATGCGAGTCTCACCATATCTATGAGTGTCAATACCCGATCTGCAGCCCTGCCCTATCTGCAGTGCGCATGTGCGAGATGGTCCGCCTTAATTGACAACTACATACGGCAACCCAAGTAGGACACTTGACACAGTGGCTTTTGGCAAAGCACAAAAAGAGAACTCGAGAGACATGAGTTATTGTTATTACAACGTGACTTCACTATTATTTAACAACTATTTTTATTGGGTTCTTTTATTTGGGGTTAATTACATTGTCAGAATAAGTGAGAAATGAATTTAACTTCTGTTAGACAGCTATCATACTGAATACATATTTACTGTGAATGTATGCAACAATGTATGGCATAGCTGTAATAAATGAATTTACAAATTAAATGAAGAACTTTATTTTGTTAGTAAGTGAGAGTTGGGTTACTTTGTTTTAATTTGAGTAAACTTATTTGATATAATTTATCAAACCAAAGATAACATTACGTAATCTAAATCTAGAAAAGTGCAGTAAATTTCATAATTTATTTGAATATGCTTCAGTTATTAAAAAATAATAACGGCCGCTTGTGTTTGTAATTTTTATTGTTTCAGATCATGGCCCTGAATAACGTGCTTACCAGAAGGATGGAGACACCCTATGCTAAACACCCACCATTACACATCCATGTAGTGAAGCTGGAGGATAGCCCAAAGGTGGTGGCTTGGGACTTCACAGAGACCACCGTTAAGGCGGCCACCATCAGAAGAAACAAGGTGGCCATTGTTTCTGACAGCAACAGTGTCACAAAAGTGACACTGTAAGAGGGGTTGGCCTCAAAAGTCGAAGAGGGGCGTAGCTATGTTATAAGGGGCTACACACTGCGGGGGCAGTCTCCCCCCTATTATCTTAACGTCGACAAGACCACAATGTTTTTTCGAAGCAGCATCATCAGCGTGCCGCAAAACCTGCTGGAGGAGGCAGATGCCCTCCTCCATCCTGCCTCGCCCATGACAGACATCAAAGCCTGAACAGGGGTGCAAGGATACATGTCCATGGAGGGAGAGGTTATTGAGGTAAGTTTGACCTTACTTTCTAGTATTAAGATTGTCAGTACAATGGCTTGTGCTCTCCAAATATGCCAGGAAGAGATGTGCATGTCTCCTAAATACATCCATGTTGTGTCTGTATTTATCATGTTATTATTCAATAAAAAAAACGGATAATAACACAACAGAACACCTTGTTGTTTAGATGTATGCAGTCCGAAAGGTGAGGAGCGGCAAGGACTTCGTCCCGATGCGACGCTTGACTTTGGAGCAGGTAAGCTATACATGACACTTTTTGTAAGTTGTTTCTTTTCCACGGAATTGTTGTGACATAACATACAACTATTGTACTCCCTTAAACAGGACTCTCAACGAATCTCTGTGACGCTGTGGAGGGAGGCTGCCATAGCAACACTAAATACTTGTGAAAGGGTCAACATAACCNGTAGGGAGGCTGCCATAGCAGCACTGAACATTGGCGAAAGGGTGAACATAACCCACACCAAGGCCAACAGCACGGATTATGGAGTCCAGCTCCAAACATCCGCCTACACCAAAATTGAAGTATGTTGTGTAAACTGTTATATACACACGATTTTAGAATGTTTTTTAGAACAATCATTAGAACATTTTGTTAACAAGAAAATAATCATTTATTATGGATTAAAGAAATAGAGCAATTTAAATCCTGAATATGATAATGATATGACCTTACTTACATTCATTTTGTGATAGTTAAAACATGAAATATTTGGAATCCTTATTTGAATCAACATAGTAAAAAAGTCTGAACATTTTGGATCAAGTGACTTCCAAAAAAATAATACTATAGCCATACACTTAAATGTCATCAGTTGTTTATTCGCTCAATGTAAATAGTGCTTTAAATCCATATGTCCACTTTCTCTCAACAGAAGCCAAAAGAACAGAAAATATTTGGCGAAATCATTGGTGTAATGGACTCCGAGAGCAGCATTAGCAGCAGCGGCGGCATCAGCAGTGGTGACCAGCTGCAAGTTCTGCTGCAGATTGGCGATATCTATTTAATTGATAAGGCCACATGGGAGCCTTTCGAAGAGCTTCTTAGTTTGGAAACAGTAAGGGCTTACATTTACGTTGAGGGAAAGACTATCAAAAAAATATAAATGTTTATAAGCTACATTCAGTGAGTCCTATGTTCACATGGATAGGTTCCCAACTTAAAATTAACAGTAATTTGTTGTTTTGTTTGTTCATATTCAATAACTAAACCAGTTCAACTAAATCTGTTGGCATTTATTTTATTCAAATATTGAAATCAATATTCTTATTTGGAGTTTTATTTCGTAATATTTCTTTTTTTGGCTTTTCATTTTAACAGTTGTATTGTGTTAATGGTGTTTATTAATCCCCTGGGGTAAAATGTATTTATTAATATAACTAACAATGAGTAAAACACTACTTTTCTCTGCCAAACTGTGTCTGTCTTTGTGTCTGACCACTGGTATAATTTTTTTAGCAAGTATGAAGCACACAAGTTACCACATTACAAAAATAAAGTTTTAATAGACGACAACAATTTTGTGGTAGCTAATTAATAGTATTATTATCTTTCAAAATGCAGCAATAAATTACTAGGACTCATGCCTTATTAATAGTACAACATACAAACAATGAAATTAAAAGAAATTACCTTACATTTGAAAATTAAAACTAAAAAGAAACCTTCTCTGCATAAAGCCTAAATGTTTAATTGTGGCCTTGGATATTACAATAGGGAAACGTTGACAAACCAGAAGCACATCAGAGTGGGAAGTGTGTGTGTGTGTGCGTGTGTGTGTGTGTGTGTGTGTGTGTGTGTGTGTCTAAGTAGAGCGCAACGCGAGCAGGCTTGACTATTACATCAAATAAATTATTAAATGTGATGAAACAGAAAATAAATATACATTGTTTGAGTAAAAAAACAAACCAGGTGGCTCTCCTACTGTTCAGTGACAGTCAGTCCGTCAATGGGACAGTAGTATTTTTTGCTGTATCTAGAACCTATCCATTGTAGACACAAATCAAAACTGTCAAAGTTCAGTGTGAGGACGTAAAGGGCGGTAACCTTTGACATGTCCAGTGGCTGTAGAAGTGCTGCTTCCAGCTTCATAACTGGTCACACAGTCTCACTTTAGCAACATGGAGGGGGAGAGTCGTAAAGAAAAAGGTGGGAAAAAAAATCACTCCTTACATTCCTGTAGTTGTTAATACAAATAGCTTTGCAAACAGTTTTGCCTAAAGTGATTTGTTAAATTTTTTGATCAAAATGACATCATGTTAATTGTTACCTTCACAGCTTTAGGAGGAACTGTCACTATGACAGGGATGACTGATCTGCAGCAGTTTGGATCCCTGCAACAGTTCATTTGATCACTGCCAAAGGATCCACAGGATGCAGGCTCTACAGTACTGAGCTGTGCACAGCAATGGATACACTTATGGGGATGTGGAGGTAGAGAATTTAGATATCTTGAACACTGCTGATGGGAAAACCCTTTTTCTGCCCAATCACTTCTCACAGAAGTTTAGGATTGCTGTATGATGCAGGGATCTTACACCTTTTCCAAAGTCAAATTCAAGCACTTTTCAAGCATTTTCAAGGTGCATTTTCAAGCTTTTCAGCCAAATAACTACCGTATACTATTTTTGAGGTACTTTTAGGTTGGCAGTAAACATACGTCAGAGGTAAATGGTGTACTTTTACTCCACTACATGTATTTAATACCTTTAGTTACTTTACAGATGTGGATGAATGATGTGAATATAATCAAGTGTTAAATCAGACTTTAGTTCCACCTGGAGTAAATTCACAAGTTACCCTGCAGTATACAAAGTCATTCAAACTAGCTGCACCTTTACCAGCTTTGATAACACTTTAAAGATCAATCATTATAAAACATATCATATATATTATTCTGAAATGGACCAATCTGCACATGACTACTTTCACTGTCGCTACTTTAACAATACTTTGATGATAATACTTTTCTACTTTTGGTTGGCTGTTTTAGCTTCTTTAATATATTACAAATTAAAATAAAGCAAATATTCCCTGTTCCAAACTGAAAATGACAACCATAAAACATACTTCACTAAAACAAACAAAAACGTACCATACCAGTCTTTTTACTGTTCCAACTCTCACCAACTCTGGTTTGTTCCAAATGAACCTTTAATGCACATTTAGAGGTCAGATGCTTATCCCGTCTGCCTGCTGACAACATAGGCTCATGTTATTATGCAGAGGAACACTTAATTAGCGTGGTCGTCAGTCAATGACGGTACATAGAGTAAATAAAGTAGTTCTTCAGCAGTTTCATAGGGCAGATATAACCAGGGCCGCCCCTCCCTACACGCAGATGACGCAGACTGCGTGTGGGCCTCACCTCGTGGTTGGGGCCTCACCTCGCGGAGGGGGCCTCATATTGCGGAGGGGGCCTCATATTGCGGAGGGGGCCTCATATTGCGGAGGGGGCCTCATATTGCGGAGGGAGCCTC